ATAAATTTATTGTCATTGTCCGTATATACACAGTATACACAACAACGAAAATCAAACACCCACTCGAAGACCGGGTTCACATACACATTTGCACGTATCTCCAACACTCTCATCCTATTCAGACATAATCTATAAAAACATATCATACTCCAGAACGTAACATAACCTATTAAAAGCATAACATAACCTAAAAACCTGTCTCATTCCTTCCTACTCCCTGCTTGCTATTCCTTCTACTACTTCACTTCCACTCTCCACAATGCTTTCCCAGAGTAAAGTAAGTGCTGCAAGAACCAGGTATGTGCTCCACGGAGCTTACTATCTGTGTTTCAGTGTGGGTGGCTTGTTTTTGAACTTCCAGAGCTGGGGAAATTGTTGTGTGTGTACATGCGTTCCATTTTTTATGTGTGCGGGTGTTTATGGGAATTGGCAAATAATGGCATGTCAGCAGTAGACACACATTATCCCTCCATCTTGTTTAAATTTTGTTTAACCAGAAGTGTGGGTCCCTCCCTCTCTGTGTCTCTTCCCCATAACAGATGGCTCTCTCTCTGGCTGCTGTTTTTTTAAAAATATACACATGCAGAGAATCAAAGGGTCAGTTTGCTCTTTAGGATTACTGCACAACATTTTCAGGGAGAAAATTGTATTTATTACCCGTTCTGTCATCTATATTGGCTATCCCCAGAATTGACCTGCCCAGATGCCATTGGATGACAACTCCCACTGGCCCCCAGCTGCACCCCCTGATCTCCGCACATTTGGGTTGAATGATTGCTTGTTCCTGTGTAGACCCGAGGGATCACCTGTGGGGGTCATCTGGTCTGCAGCTCAAACCTGGCCTGCCAGGCTTTCCCCCATTTGGCCCACAAGGCCATTTTTCTGCCAGGAATTCTCTTTCATGCACAAAACTGAACCTGCTCAGTTTGGCTGTGCTTTGAAGTCCCAAAGTTGGCTGCTAAAAGGAAGATCATTTCCTGCTTCATCTTAGCCGCTGGTTCAGTATAGAATGCATTGAAGGGCTTGAAAGCCCAACCTGCCCTGACTTGGTTCAGCTTCTTGCCTTCCATTTTTCTCCCTTCTCCCTTCTCCTATTTCAGATCTAATCCTGCTTCATATATTCTGTATGGGATTTGCACCCCTTGCCCCACTGATCCTACTCCCTTTTGCACCTTGCTGAGCCTCTTCCTGTTCTAATTGCCTTCTGGCAGTTGCTGAAAACTGCAGGAGGGGTATAGTTGTTTATGCACTTACTGCTTGCAGGCTTCCCATAATGCAGCGGTTCTCAAGCTGTGGGTCCCCAGATGTTGTTGGACTACAACCCCCATCATCCCTGAGCTCTGGCCTTACTAGCTAGGGGTGATGGGAGTTGTAGTTCAACAACATCTGGGGACCCACAGGTTGAGAAAGGCTGCCATAATGGGCATCTGGTTGGCCACTGTGAGAACAGGAGGCTGGGCTAGATGGGTCATATGGAGGTTCACTGTGATAGTAGAGCCTCTATGTCCAGGGGCAATCAACTACTCATACCTGGCAGTGGAGAACTGAAGTGGAGTGTTGCTGTTGTGCTCAAGTCTTGCTTGTGGATGCTTCCCATTGGGGCATCTGGTTGTCCACTGTGGGAACAGGATGCTCGACTAGATGGGCCAATAACATGATCCAGTGGGGCTCTTCTGATGTTTTTAGGTGACCCTATGGCTGAAACTAAACCAGCTCCACCTATTATATTCATTTTACAGATGGAGAAGCCAAGGCTGAGTGGGAAACCACAGGCCTGATTTCATGCAAATCAGCAGCAGTGTTTTGGAAAGGCTGACAGCTTCCGCTCTTAAAAGAGCCAAGTCTGTGGTTGAATGATTCAGGACAATTGGGGGAAGGGTCTGTTGCAAAATATAATATGAGAGCATCAAAAGAACCCAGCTGGGTTACAGGAGTGGCCCTTCTAATCCAGCACCCTAAGTTTTGCAATAACCCTCCCCACTTCTTCCTTGGATTGGGGGTTGGACTAGATGACCCCAAGACCCTTCCAGCTCTACAGCTCTGTGATTCCCAGCAACTTCTATTCAGAGGTATATCTCCTCTGACACTGGAGGTAGTTCATTGACAAGATAAACTGCAAGCCCCATAAATTCGAAGAGTACCTCAAGAAAGAAGCAGTAAAACAGATGTCTCGTTTGCTGCAGATGCAAACTTTTGAGAAATATGATGAGAAGCTCTGGTGTGGTGCTCATTCAAACCTTGCCTACCTTGTCCAAAGAGAATGAGTGCAGGCACTATGGGCATCAACCTTTCATCTAAACCTTCTTTGACTCTCTCTCTCTCTCTCTCTCTCTCTCTCTCTCTCTCTCTCTCTGGAAAAGTGACAATCTGTCTTCAGCATGCCTTTGATTAGGTTTGTTGCTGATGCAGGGAAAAGGTCCACTGGAAGGAAGGGAGAGTTAGGTGGTTTTTTGTTTGATTTTTGTGATCCTGGGAGCTGTTCCACTTGCAACACCAGCAATAAAAATTAAGCCCTGCTGTAAAAGTTTCCCAAGACAAGCAGCCTAAACAGCTGAGATTTATTAGCTAAGCAACAATGCTCTCAGCCTCCCACTTACGGAGAAGCAGGGGCTGCCTAGAATTCAGCACCGCACCCCAACCTTGCGCTATAAATGCATGAAGAGTGAGGAGAAACAGCCTTATCAAACAGCCTGGCCCCAGGCTCACTTCTCCCCCCGATTGCCAGTTATTTATTTATTTAATTAATTCATAAGAGGACCCTACTGTAGCAGGGCCATGGCCCATCGAATCCAGCATCCTGTTCTCACAGTGGCAAACCAGGTGCCCATTATGGGAGGCCCATAAGCAGGACCCAAGTGCAATTGTAACTCTCTACACTGACTGGCGGGACGCGGATGGCGCTGTGGGTTAAACCACAGAGCCTAGGACTTGCCGATCGGAAGGTCAGCGGTTCGAATCCCCGTGATGGGGTGAGCTCCCGTTGCTCGGTCCCTGCTCCTGCCAACCTAGGAGTTCGAAAGCACGTCAAAGTGCAAATAGATAAATAGGTACCACTCTGGCGGGAATGTAAGCGGCGTTTCCGTGCGCTGCTCTAGTTCGCCAGAAGCGGCTTAGTCATGCTGGCCACATGACCCGGAAGCTGTACGCCGGCTCCCTTGGCCAACAAAGCGAGATGAGCGCTGCAATCCCAGAGTCGTCCGTGACTGGACCTAATGGTCAGGGGTCCCTTTACCTTTACTTTTACACTGACTGGCCAGTGCTCGCCAGTGTTTCAGGCAAAGAATCTTTCTCAGCCCTACCTGGAGACCCCAGTGATTTGGACCTGGGACCTTCTGCATGCCAAGCAATGCTCTCTACCACTGAACTGTGGTCCAGCATGAATCTGCAGGTGAAAGAATGACCCTCTCCCATTAATGTGAGCAAACACAGCTATTCCACTGCCCCACCCCTTAATCCTTTTGATATGTATTCTTCCTTGCCTGAATCATTTTTAACAATGAGAGAGTTAATCCCAGCTTCTCTTCTGCCCTCCCCATCCCTCCCTCCCCCTCCACTTTAAATTATATTTGCTAATGCGTTTAGCAGCTTTGGCTGTCAAAAAGAATGGCTTATTCAAAAGGTCATAAACAGATTGTGGCGTTAATTACCGCACGGGCAGATTTGTGTTGCCTTGTTGAAGCTGATTCTGTTGGGAAACTTAAATCGCTCCCCACCGATAGGCAAATAGCAAAGGTAGTAGAATTGTTGAGCACGTCTGAAAAACCCCAACAGTTTCCCCAAGTGTAATTTTGAACCCCCCCTTATTTTGTTGCCACTGATTGACAGGAGCTTGCAGTTGAGAAATTGCATTTTGCTCTTTGCTGACATCTCCACCGTTAATCACAAGGTTGTGGGTTCAAGCTCCACATTATTAAAAACAGTTTTAAACAGCTTAAAATCATAAAAAATAAGGTAGGTCCTAGAAACATACACCTCATGTATCAAAAGTCCAGGATAATGAGTTGCATCTTCAGCATTAACTGGAAGCTGTGCAATGAAGGTGCCAGGCACATTATGTGGGGAGGGAATTTCACTGCTTAGAAGCCACTCAGAAAAGACCCTCTCCTGGGCCACCCCCACCCCACAAGCCTCCAAGGGCAGAGGAATCATGACGTGGGCCCCTCTGCTGATCTTAGCACCTGAGAAGATGTTGGGAGCCAGAGTCATTTAAGATTTTAACCACCAGTGTGAGCACTTTGAACTGGGCCTAGTTCAACTATTGCAGCTGTTTTAAAATAGGGGTTATATGAGATCTAAATGGAAACCCAGCCAGTAACCTGGCTGCTGCAGTTTGGACCAACTGAAGTTTCTGAGTTGTCTTCAAGGGCAGCCCCACATTGCAGTATTCCAATCTAGAATTTACCAGACCAGATGAAGAATTGAAAGCATCCTTAGTGCCCTCCTGTTTTCTTCATCTTGAATTATGCACCTTTCCCTCCTGGGCTGATTTTGGAAGTGGCCTGATGTATGCTGGAGCGGTTGGGAGCGCCCATGTGCATCTGATTCCTACTGAAAGCAGCACGGCAGGGTGAGCTGACAAACTCAAGCAGCCCTGAATTCAAAGGATGCTGTTTTGCAGCTGTGCCTTGAATTCGGGAGGGTTTGAAGCAATGGCTTTTCCTGTCCTTCCTCTGATGTCATGTGATCATTAGCTCAGTGGGTAAATCATCTCCTGGCAGGGATGCGAAATTTCTCCTACCTGAAACTTGGTTGAGAACCACTACCATGTATCGAGCTACATGGACCAAATGGCCGGAATTAGTATAAAGCTGCATCCTAACTTATTTGCAAAATGGGCTTGCAAAATGGGGAGTTCTGGCAGGCCAAATGGTATGGGCATCCATAGCGATATGAAGTTCTCCATCACTTCCTCAAACCCATGATCTTTTAGTGACAGTAGCAGCCTGAATTTGCCACCTATTACAGAAACTTCCTTATCTTAATGAACAGCAGAGACAAACCTCTCTCTCTCTCTCTCTCTCTCTCTCTCTCTGTGTGTGTGTGTGTGTGTGTGAGAGAGAGAGAGAGAGAGAGAGAGAGGAATACAGACACATCAGGCCACAGAAGCATGGAAGTATACCCAGGATGCATGTACAGGGGTACTGAATTAGGCCAAAGCTCTCAGCTTTGATTTGTGAAAGTGAGCAATCTCTGAAGCTGACAGTTCTTCATTTTTGCACAGGGTTTGGGTGTGTGTGTGTGTGTGTCCCCCACAATTCTGGAAGAACCGACCACTTCAAAATATCTTCAAGCAGATAAGCTTGCAAGTCATGGAAAGCTGTGAATGGAAGCTCCATAAGTCAAGTGCCATTCACGTTTTTCACTCCTGTTTGGAACAGGCTAAGCATTCTGTGAATTTAGGGAAAAAATGATAGCTGAAATCTGTCCCTGGTAGTCTTACAGGGGATGAAAGTGTTATTCTGAACAGTTAAACAAGCTATGTTATTAGAGATGTGAAGAATGTTGGGCAGAGGTTTGGGTCCCAGATTCAATCTCCAGCATTTACAGATAGTGCCTGGGAGAGCCCCCCCTGCAACAATACCGGTTCATGTAAACAGTACTGTGCTAGATGAAGCAATGGTCTGGCCTGGTACTAAAAAGCCTCATAGTTCATATTTAATTCTGAATTATGAGAATTAGAATTTGTAGAGGAAGGACCGTAGCTCAGTAGTAAAGCATCTGCCTTGCTTGCAGAAAGTCCTGTATTCAGCCCCTGGCTGCATCTCCAGGTTGGGCTGGGAGAGTCTCCCTGCCTGAATCTCTGGAGATCCACTACCAGTCAGTGTAGACAATACTGAGCTAGAATTACTGGTGGTCTGACTCAATATGAGACTGCTTCGCTGTAAGACAGTCACCTACTGCCTATTTAATTCAGAACCAAAAGGACTAGAATCTGACAAAGTGCAAGACTCCTTCCTTTGTTCCAATTTAATTTAGTCCTTTATTCACAACCATGAGCACTAGAATCTTACTTTATTTTTAAAGAGAGAGTAATAGCTCAGGGGTAGGGTAACTGCTTTGCATGTGGACGATCCCACATTCAGTCCCTAATGGCATCTCAGAGCTGCTGCCTGTCAGCATAGACCACCCTTTCTCAACCTTTGGTCCCCCATATGTTGTTGGACTACAACTCCCATCATCCCTAGCTAGCAAGACCAGTGGTCAAGGATGGTGGGAGTTGTAGTCCAACATTTGGGGACCCAAGGTTGAGAAAGGCTTGTATAGGCATTATTGAGATAGAAGGACTATTGAGTCTGACTCAGTATAAGGCAGCTTCTTTTGTTACTATATAATACTAAATTGGTTATGTTGTATTCATCTATTTTTAAAATAGTGCACCCTGTCTTAGGGTCATCTTAATGATGAGTGGGCTAAACATTCTGGAAATATGGAAATTAAATAGTGGATGAAATTTTTATTGTGACTATGTTAAGCGAAGCTATAATCAGTAAGATTATGAGGAGTGTTGGGTTGGGAGAAAGAGAGGATGTTAGACTACAGTAATTAGCAAAGCCTTATGGCTGGCACCGTCCGCTTCATCATCTCTCTGGTTCATGGATTCTTGGATCTCTTAGCTTAATTGCTAGTCCGCAAGGCACCCGTCTGTTCATTATCCTTCCCCCTCTCCCCTCTGCTCTGCTTACTACAATTGACTTGGGAAACCAGTTTGCTTCCTGAGCTAGCCATTCTTAAATTGTTCTAGAGGTTTTGTTTAAATTTCCATCCTCTGCAAACAAAAATAAGAGTGCAGATTTTCCGAATCCTGCAATTTCTCATCAGTGCAGAATCTTGGCATTGTGCAGGGAGTTTGCGATATAGTGATACTGTTTTCTTCCTATATACATAGAAACGAAAGGTGTTTTTACACGCTGTAGTTTACATGACCACCTATAGGCAGACGTGTGAACTGCAGCCTGGCAAACGGCAGGCCGACCCAGATGAGTGGTTTAATGGAGAGAGGGGAGGTGCTGTGAAGCAAGCCGCTGGTGGAGTGCCTCCCCACTCCTTTAAAAGAGGGCCGGGCTTGGGGTAATAGGCAGGTGGGTGGAGGTGTAAAGGGAGGGGGTAGTTGGTCAGGTGTGGGGAAGGGGTAGGCAAGGTTAGTGAGCAGAGTGAGCAGGTGTGGAAGCCTCCTACTAAGAGAGAAAGAGAAATTCTAGCCCTTATGATTATTGCAAAGATGAACCTGAAAGGGTCTGGGCAATGTTACCCATCCGATGTTGCAGCAAGCGCTGCCCATCTTCATATTCTTAGGGTCTAGAAACTTACATCTTATTTTAAATAAAACCAGAAAGCTGTTTTTGTGTGTATGTTTTATTTCTTTTAAAGGAAGCCATCTTCTTAATAATACAGTAATAATAATGAAAAGCAAATCAGCAAAAACTGTTCAATGTGCTTTGTTGAGTGAGAGTTACTCTGGGATGGTAGACTGGTGCATACTTTTGCTCACTGCAGACAATGACTTTCTCTCTTGGTCCCCTTGTGAACATTTTGCTGGGATCTGAATTGTCATCCCTGGCCAAAATGCACAACAGGAAGTATAAAGTTACTGTGTGTGTGTGTGTGTGTGTGTGTATGTGCCTGACACATTGGACAATAAAATGAGGTGATATTCTTGAGGCAGAACCAAGAGATCTTGACCCTCTTTGAGCTGGACCTGGGTTTGCAGGATCTGTGAATGGTGAGGTGGATGATCATAATCATATTTTGATCACCAGTTTTGCTTAAACAAGCTTATCCCAGTGTAGAAGATGATATTAAAACACATTTCCTTTCAGTCTGTTGTCAATTTTAATTATCCTTTGAACGTTTTTTATATGCATGTTATAAACAGCCTTTTTTTTGAATATTTTAGATTTTTTTTGTAAGCCTCTTGGAAGTTTGATTAGCCAAGTGGTATATAAATGCTGTTAAATAAAATAATCATTATTGGGTAGCATCCAAAGTTGATCTTACTGAGAGTAGAACTGTTGAAATGGATTGGTACCATTCAGTGGGTCTACCGCCTTGCCGACGTGGGGATCCAGGGCACAATCCTTCAATGGCTGCGCTCGTTTCTCTCTGGTCAGGGACAGAGGGTGGCGCTTGGGGGGGGAATTGTCATCGCGCCACTCCTTGGTGTGTGGAGTACCTCAGGGTGCGATACTCTCCCCGATGCTTTTCAACATCTTTATGCGCCCCCTTGCCCAGCTTGTCCGGAGTTTTGGGCTGGGTTGCCATCAGTATGCCGATGACACCCAACTGTATCTGTTGATGGATGGCCATCCTGACTCGGCCCCAGACACACTGACCAGATGTTTGGAAGCTGTGGCTGGATGGTTACGTGGGAGCCGGTTGAAGCTAAATCCTTCGAAGACAGAGGTCCTGTGGCTGGGACGGGACGATATGGGATTGGGGGGGCAACTCCCATCTCTTGCGGGGGTGCAATTAGTGCCAGCACCGTCCGTTAAGAGTTTGGGTGTAATCTTCGACACCTCCCTTTCCATGGAGGCACAGATTGCAGCTACAACAAAGGCGGCGTTTTTCCATCTCCACCAAGCGAAGCAGTTGGCTCCTTACCTCTCTCGCCCTGACCTAGCCACTGTGATCCACACGACGGTCACCCTCCGGACTGGATTATTGTAACTCGCTCTACGTGGGGCTGCCCTTGAGACTGACCCAGAAACTCTAGCGGGTGCAGAATGCTGCAGCGAGACTCCTTACGGGGTCTTCGCTGCGAGATCACATTCACCCGGTGCTATACCAGCTGCACTGGCTCCCGGTGGAGTACAGGATCAGGATTAAGGTGCTGGTTTTAACCTTTAAAGCCCTAGGACCCTCGTACCTACGGGACCGCCTCTCCTGGTCTGCCCCACAGAGAAATTTACGGTCTTCAAATAAAAACATCTTGAAGGTCCCAGGCCACAGAGAAGTTAGGCTGGCCTCAACTAGAGCCAGGGCTTTTTCGGCCGTGGCTCCGATCTGGTGGAACACTCTGTCACAAGAGACCAGGGCCCTGCGGGACTGGACATCTTTCTGCAGGGCCTGCAAGACAGAGCTGTTCCACCAGGCCTTGGCCAGGGCGCAGCCTGACTCCCTCCTCGGCAATCTTCGCGGGCTCTGACCCAATGGTTGCCAGTGGCTTGAATTAATTAATTTTATAATGAATGATTTTAGAGTGTTGTTTGTGCTGTACTTTTGTACTGTTTTATTGTTGTTAGCCGCCCTGAGCCCGGCTTCAGCTGGGGAGGGCGGGATATAAATAAATTTATTATTATTATTATTATTATTATTATTATTATTACTCTGAGTTGGACTTAGTTGGAGACAATCAATTATCATGATCATTGTGTAAAACGAAACAAGCGTTTGTGTCCAGCTAAGTTCTAGTCAGAGTAGACCCACTGAAATGAATGGAGATGTTAGCCATGCCAGTTACGTTCACTTGCTTTACTCTTGAGAGAAGGGAGCTCAAGATGGATGGGACTTTCTTGAAGGTGAAAAATTGAAGGCCCAAATGCAGACAATTCCAACAAGAAAGAAATAGGTATGGCTGCATAAGGAGCTTAAAGATGAACTGAGATTTAAGAAGGACATGTACAGGGTGAGTCCTTTAAAAGAGGCCCTGTGGATACAGAGTACACATGTTCCACAGGGCCTCTTTTAAAAGACTTGCCCTGTATAAGAAATGAAAGAAAGGGGACATCAGAAATGAGGAGTATGCACGACGAATACCCAACAGTTGCAGGGCAAATGTCAGGCAGGCTAAGGCTCAGAATGAGTTCAGCCTTGCAAGCGAGGTTAAAATGAATAAAAAAGGTTTCTTCGGCTATGTTCGAAGCAAGAGGAAGAACAAGTACCATATTTTTTGCTCTATAAGACTCACTTTTTCCCCTCCTAAAAAGTAAGGGGAAATGTGTGTGCGTCTTATGGAGTGAATGCAGGCTGCGCAGCTATCCCAGAAGCCAGAACAGAAAGAGGGATTGCTGCTTTCACTGCGCAGCGATCCCTCTTGCTGTTCTGGCTTCTGAGATTCAGAATTTTTTTTTTCTTGTTTTCCTCCTC